TACGTGCTCGTTAGCACTGGCAACGTTCACTACCGGTCCACCCGGCATTGCCATGATTGTGTTGGACAGAGGCTCAAACTCATTGTCCACATGAATGGTCGTGATTCTAAAACCACGAGCCTTGTAGAATCGATAGACCTCCTGAACTGCTTCTAGGATGGTCTCTAGCTTCCTGTTGGGCAGGTGTCTAGATGTTGTAAAATCGATTTTACGGCTTAGCGTTAACAGGAACGGAATTCCTGCCACAAAGAAAATGTCCATCGTTAGGAACACATCCTTGTGTAATTGCAAAAAGTCTCTCGGCACTTTCATTGCATTGCCTGCCACTGCGTTCGGTTTCGTACGAGTGGTCTTGCCTTTCAGCGCATCAATATCCTTGCCCCATATAGCTTGTGCCGTATCGATGTCTTCGACGGTCACAGGGCAATTTGCGATTTGATTGCTCATAATCGCCCATCGGAAATCTTTAATCGATGGATAGACGAGTTGCTTATATAGCAGCTTCGCCCTTGATGCGGCTTTAACTTGTCGTTTGCTGAAGCCTTCCTTATTTTCGGCGACAGTATTCACAAGTGCCTTCCCATTTTTCCTAGGGTCATGAACGTGTAATCCTTCACTGTTCATTTCGTATACTACGTCCGGTAGGCCTGGTCTAATGACTGTGTAGGTTCCTTTCGGACAGTCATAGACGATGTTGCAATTCTTGCGGACATTCTTAACAGATAAGATGTTCGTGATTCCTCTTTCATCGAACCATACTCTCTGTTTGTGGCCAGCTAACTTGGCTGTGTGCTGGACCTTCAGCTTGCCTCCGGTACTCTTCACTGTAATTGGACGATCGGCTTTCCTGATGTCGGTAACCATGTCTTTATTACAGAATAGATCCAACGTGGACTGGTTGTCCAGTAGCTGGATCTCTCTCATATCTATGTCGTCCAATCCTTTTGTGTGGGCGACTATGCCTTGCTTAGTCGGTTTCTTCGTTCCGTCCGTCTTCGTTGCGTCCGCGAACAGCGGTACGTCGAACGTAACGAAACCTTTTTCGACTTTCTCGTCATCTGACTGCGTGATGTCAGAGTCGGCAGCATCCTGTTCTTCGTTCAGGGTTGTCAATGCTGTCGTCATTTTATCTTGCAGTTTGCTGATAGTAGCTAGGATTCTCCTCTGGGTGCTACTAGAGCTTTTCTTGCTCGACGTGCTTGACTTGCTACGCTTGCTTGACCTCGATTTGTCGTCATCGTTTTTGTCTTTATCTTTGTCTTTATTTTTGTCAGGACAGTGCGATGCTGGATGTCCTTTCTCGTGGCAGGAAAAGCATTCTTTCTCTTTCCAGTATTCTTTATCATAGCTCGCGTTTCCGCGGCCTTTTCCTCTGCCACCACCCCGTCCTCTCCCGCCTTGTGCTGTCTGAGCAAAGGAGCTTCCGTGGGAAGTGGACTGTCGTGGGATGTTACTCTTGGTGTGTTTGTCCAAAAGGTGTAATACCTCATGTAACGTGTGGGGATAGTTATCAGTGCCTTTGGCAAAGTCGTCCCTCAGGTTCTGTTTAAGCTTGGTATTTTCGGCTGAACTATTTGTTAAGAAGATGTAACTATAGTACCGTTCTTCAGCGTATGCCGAGACTTTCTTCTGGTCATCGGTTCCAAGGTCAGCGTATGCTGTGTTTGGGTGTAGTAGTTTCGCCGTATGCAGCAGGGCTGCATCGTGTAGCTTGGAAATACCCACGGATTTTGCAATGTCCTTTTTCGTGGTAAATTGCTCGTGGTATTCGGAAGCGGTAAGGCTCCCTTGGTGGAAATTCATCAGTTGTTTTTCCAGTTGGAATAATGTGTGGTACACAAAATTATCATCTGTCTGGGCCATGATCGTCTTATGGATCATTTTTCGTAGCTCCAGTGGGTCGCATCTTAACAGGACGTCATCAAAGTCCTCGTTCTGCTTCATCTTGTCCTTTAATAGTCGGGTGCACTGCCCTAGGATCAATTTTGAATGCTTTGCCTCTATTTTCTTATAGTTTTGCCAACCTCGTAAGGTGGGTCTTCATGAGCCCTCCATACTCTGCTTTCTCGAGTCCCCGGTGTTCCTCTTCCGGTGGGTCGGCTATGGCTGCCGTAAGGTCGGCTATTTCATTAACGAGTTGTGCTTTTTCTATTGTTAGTGTGCGTAAGCTACCGAGAGTCGGGTCATTGGTGACTGCGGTTATCTCTGATTCTAGTAGCTGTAGGTTTGCTTGGGTTGCCGATAGGAGACGATTTTTGTTCGCTGCACGTCGTACCGTCGCCGTTTCAAGCCTGTTCCGGGTCTCCGCTGAGTACACCGGTGCTACCAACACTGTCTGTTTCAGGTTGTGTAGCTCATTGCTCATGTCGTCACCCATCAGTTGTCCAACGTGGATGACGATCTTCTCCCATGTGCGTATCATCTGGTATGCCGTTCCAGATCCAGTTGTACCGAAGTTAAACACATGTTGGTCGAGGGCTTTGCATGAACCTTTCTGCTGGTTCCACGATGGGCTGGTCCTTCCAGGCCCTCGTCCTTTGCCGCCTCCTTGGCCACTCTTTCCTTTACCTCTACCGCTCATTGTCTAAGCCCAGTGTGTGGACAAGCGTCCTCTCAGGAAGTTATCCCAACCAATGAGATTTTGAGTGTCAACGAGGTCCCTATACCTGTCAGGGTAATGCCATGGGTGGAGGAATCGATCTTCAAAGTGGTATTGTAGTCCATCCAGAGCAATTTCCAGAAGGAAGGGATCGGTGGAATCTTTGCGCAACCTTGTGCTGACCGCTCGTTGCATGGTTCCTCGCCATAAGTCCACGTCAACATGCGGGCATCGGTAAACATGGGTTTCAGTCTCGTGATCACCGCCACAATGGGGACAGTGGTGATCATACTTGGGGTCATCCCGGTGGATCCGTTTCCCAACTGGCAACAATTGAAATAGAAACTTCACAATTGTCGGTTTGTGGATCTCGTGACGGTTGACAGCTCGACCATGGGCTGTCCAATCAACCAGTGCAGGGGTGTCCTCGTCCCAGCCGGGATTCAGTTTGACAATGTGGTCGAACAGAGGTCTTGCACTGCTAGTCAATGACTAAACAGAGGCTGCTTGACACACTGATACCCTTGGAATCCTTCGAAACCGACTGGAAGGTGCTCTCGTGGTGTGTCGAGTTACCCTTGGAATTCACTCGAAACAGTGGCTGGATCGATAGGTATCTTCCAGGCTTCCGTGAAAGATCCTGTTTCGATCGAAAATGTGAGGCGACTCGGATCTTGGGCTCGGCCTGCTTTCGGGACAGAGGTTCGGTACCGATCTTGTGAGTACCGTGTGAGTACCGGTTCCCTTCTGCGAGGTACGGTACGTCCGCAGGCACGACTGAGAATTTCCGTACGAAAAGGATCGACAATGATGATCGGCCGTATTCCGCTATCGGCCGGTCGAACTAGGCCGATTAACAAGCAACTGGCTGGTGTATCTTGTCAGGAATCCTCAGGTTAGTAGGTGGACCTGTGGGTACCTTCTCGAATGGTCGCGATTCCAGTTTTTGGTCGTCGATCTGTCGGCAGGTCTCGATCGGCCGATTTTCCTTCTTCCTCTCTTCTTCCTCCTCGATTTCCACACTCCTGTATGCCACTCTTGTGCCTGCAATCTGCGACAATATTAATCCGATGAGATCCAGTCAGGGTAGATGCACAAAGAGCTGGCTGGAGTGGAGAGCTCTGCTTGGAGCCTCACTCCTCTGACAGTGGGAATGGGCCAGCCACAAAGCTGGCTGTCGCTGTTATTCAATCTCCACAGCAATGATTGAACAACTTACTCTTTGCCCTGGCACAATCCACACAGGAAGGCTTCAACTGTGAGGAAACTAGTGCTACTGAGGCTGTATCTGGTCAACTATCCTTTCATTACTTCTTCTTCTTTAAACTATAACATATACACAAAATCCTCGACAGCACTCAGCCATGCAGCTTTGGCTCTCTTGCATCTCATTTGGCTGGTGCTGGCAAGCTAACTTTCTATATTGGTCTTGGCTGAAGAACTGCATCATCCTTGGGTATATAGAGTTCCTCAGCTATTTCTGTATTGCCAGATGGCTGCACTGCTGACCTTACTGTTGGAGTATACAGATGTCACAGCGATTCTTCCACCTGGCTAAACCAGCACAGCTGCTTCGCACCACAATGGGAGTTCACGTGGATTTCCACTCATCGGGAGTGCTCCTGTTAGTCCTTGGAGGTTTCACAGGAGAGACATCGTGATCAAATGGGTGGAGACCAAACTGCTTGCGAGGCATGGATGCCACCGAGATAGAAGCGGGAGCTCCAATAGTACGGGTGGCGAGTCCAGACGTGGAAACTCAGGGCTGCGGATCCGCAACTCCACAGTCCGTGAGGAGAGTGTGGAGCTTCTGCACCGTAGCCGCTGAGTAACGCTTGTGGGTGGCAGTGAGCTTGCATCCGGAGGTGCAGCTGCCTTTTAGAGCCCAGGCCATACAGACGTCTTGACCACCGTGCTTGGGAATAGTGCACTGGTGGTCCTACAATTCTAGATCCTCGCGATTTGGAATCACCCTTTTCGGACGCACACTGACTCTCAGATTAGTGCTGTTAAATTTGCCGTTTCCTCAGCCACTGAAAAGAAAAAGAGCGACCATGGAGCCTTGTGGTCTATTCCAGGGACGAAAGATAGCTAGTAGCATCAAGATGAGCTTGGCAAACAACAAGAAACAACATGGACAACGGCGACAGCCATTGGCGCCAGCGGCAACGGTCTGGAAAACATGGAAATCGAACAAGGAAGGTAGCTTGGGCACGGAATTTCATACAAATGACCGTGACAGAAACACAAACAGAAAACAAACAACGACTTTGTCGATATCCCTCGGACCAAGAAAACCACTCCACGGAAGCAGGCGGTGCAACACCCACCAACACCGATAGGACTACAACTACTAACTCCCACTTTGCGGGAAACCAATTCTTCCTTCTAATGGACCAAGATGACAAATGGCTGCAACAAAACAAAGGCCACGGACGACGATACGTCCATTACGACACTTAATACTAATGGGACCGGATCTATTGGTGCCTCCTCCGCTGCCGACACCCCACCCAGGATCAATGGAAATAGCGGCGCATCTGTTTTATCACATCGCTCCGAACACATCCGTCGAGCTAAACCACCAACAAAAATTGAAACGACACCCCTCCCTTTGCCCCCAGTTCTTGTGACAACTGTCACAACACCGGTTGTGTGGGAGACACCGGGATGCAGTAGTCAAAAATCCAGAAAAAGCAGCTCAACTAAACAGCAACAACAAGAGAAACGAAACCAACAACAAAACAAAAAGGTGGATGTATTCGAAGCAACGTCCAATGACGCTGCATCATGGCCGCCACTCAAACTGTCATGTGAAGAACAACCAATGAGCAACTTGACAGCCACCTACGACATTAGGAGTAAATAAGGAAAAGGCGGCTCTGCTGCCCACGTCCAATCACACAGTGGCAACCCAACCACGAGATGGCAATGACAAGGAATGGCCGACTATAGGACAATCAATCTCGGACGCAACTGGCGGCAGCAAGAAACCAAAGTTGGACGGCTCGGAGTCCTCCATCGACAATGGCAGAAACAAAATTACCACCAAGCACGACACAAATTTCATGCTCATCACAGCAAACTCGAACATCAGGAATGACACCGCATGGCCGCTACTACCTACTGATAAAGTATGCGGCAAGGTGATGCTAACGATCACGTTACAGCAACGATTTCTGGATGTAGCAATTGGAACCGCGAAACTTGTCTCTTCGACTATTGCAGACTTCCATCCACCAATAGGCAACATCACAAACCAGACAACAGCTCCAAACAAATTGCCACTCTGTCGGGGAAAAAGAAATCCAAGTTTCGCCTCAAACAGTCAATCCAGCGCTACTTATGTAATCAACAAACGGCTTCATCACAAACGATTGAGAGATCAAACCAACATGGAAATCAAAGTCAACCATCAGCTGGAAACAAGAATAACGAAATCTAACCCGACAACAAAGATACAATGGAACTCCACGCAACCGCTGCTACAGGCACCAGTGGAAATCCTAAAGAACCAATAGATCTGACTACTCCGGTGAAAGATGCACAAGATCAGCCTACACAAGTCGTTACAAATGACATTTGAGACAACAACACTGTGGCAGCTACGGATCTAGCTCATGCAGTCAAGGTGGTTGGAACCAAAATGGCGCAGATGGCGGTCTGCCCTGGGCAACGTTCAGCTATTAACTCTTTCCAATCAATACTGACTTCTGGTGCTGCTTCTCAAAAGGCCGAGTCATGGCAGCTCGATGGTTCAGCTCCCGAAATTTACACCGATTCGAAGGTGGAAACGATGCCTGTTGTATGTCTTGATTGCGGTGTACCGGTAGCTCCACAGGTGCTTTGCCTGAGTGACTCAACAGCTGATTTCCTTGGAATGACAGCTAGTACTGATCCTACTCACTATTGCAGCAGGTGCAAGCAATTCATTCCATTGCAAGGTCCCTTGGCAATGGACACACGCCCAGCATCACCATTATCCATGCTGTTGTCACCAAGTACAACATCCAACTGGATGAAAGAAACCAAAAATCACACAGATGCAGAAATTGCAGCAGGAATCAAGCATCTGCAAGATGAGGCAAAAGAATTGGATATGGGTGAGGAGCTGGTGACTGGTACCTGCTGGGAGCCTGCCACGACACTCAAGCCAAGTCACTGTCCCAAATGAAATGCTACAATGGAAGCCACCACCATGACCTGCAATGATGAGACTACAGAACTCTTTGGCATTCAGGATGATGCCCTCACTGGTCATTACTGCCACGCATGCGACGATTCCTTTCAAGATGAAGAAGTGATGCTCCCAGTCAAGATACTTGCTCCAGTGTTTGATGCTATGGCTACTGGACAAACAGACAATCCCAGCTTGGAGAAACCTTCTACCAGCACTGCACACCACCCAGATATAGGGGTCTCTCATGAAGGCCAACACGGAGACAACAGCTCTCCGCAAACGGCTGCACCCACCACTTATGCTACACCAGCATTCCAAGTCAATCCAAGACGCTGTCACTGTGAAAAGCTAGCCACCTCCAGACCCAAGGATCCAGTTTGTGACTACTGCAAGCAAGAGAAGGATGGAGCCCAGGAAATCTCCTACTTGGGAATGGAACTGGCACACTTGAATCCACCCCCACCCCCAAACTATGCCTCCAGAGACAGTGCTATCAAGTCATCAGTTCAAGATATGCAGAGGAGATGCATTCCAATACCTTCAGAGCTGCGTAGCAAACTGTTGGACATGGGATACATTACTTTTGATGCCGGCAACCAATCTGGTCATCAGTCTTTGAAGCCAGCAACCAATCAGAATGAGGCAACTATGGATATCAATGAGTCAAAACAAGATGAGGCAACTGATTCACTTGCCACAGGAGAAGATGTGAAAATGGGAAAATGTCAAATCAGAGGATACCAAAGCAAGCTGTGGAGGTCAAGTTGTTGGAGCGGGAGGAAGAACCTGCAAGTCAGCTGACATGTCAACAGGCTCTCATCAATATGACAGATCTCAGAACAAGGAAAGACCCAAGCACCAGTCAACGGTTCCAGTGCAGAATCTAACCATTCAGGAATCCAAGCAGAATGAGGCCACTGCCTCGCGGACAGAGGGTCGGGATATGGATGTCGGAGAAGACAATGAGGAAGGAACTGAAAGAGACCCAGGGACTGATGATCAGCATGGAAACAGTAACAACTCCAATGAGGATGAGGATGGCTTTGAGGATGCTGAGGAGGGAGAGCCGAGTGATGCAGTCTACTTTTTTGGAGTCAGGCTGGAAACAATGATGCCGCTAATTGAGGACTTTCCAATGGCAGACTTTATGAAGATACTCACCCTACTGAACTCTGAGGAGGACAATGATATCTGGTTTGCCGACCATGCAGGAGATGGAGATATAGATGGTCAAGGTCACGCCTTGGAGATTCTGGAAGAGATGACGGTCGATGAATTGGAGATCATGCTGTATGAGACAGAGACAAGCAAGCACCTAGCTTGTTCATGGACTCCTGCAATCACAGGAGTGCCACAGCAGAAGTCAAGGATGAGAGCAGCCATGCCCAACAGCATCTTCTACCCAAGGGTCTGAAAGTGTGGGGCAACAAAGCCAGAAAGGCGGCGCTCAAAGAGATGGACCAGCTACACAGCAGAGTGTGTTTCAGTCCAGTCGACCCAAACAAATGCAGTGATTCTGAATTGAAAAAGGCACAAATGGCACTCATGTTTGTGAGTGAGAAAAGGGATGGCACGGTCAAGGCCCGTGCAGTCTACAATGGGAAACCTACAAGGGTGTACCATCAGAAAGAAGATGCCAGAAGCCCAACAGTTTCACTTGAGGGTTTGATGTTATCCATGTGTGTCGATGCATCCGAAGATAGGGATGTGATGTCCCTGGATGTTCCCAATGCGTTCATCCAAACCCCAATGCCAAAAGTCAAACAAGGTGAAGACAGGGTCCTCATGATCATTGAGGGAACCCTTGCAGATTTACTTGTCGAAATTGATCCTGACACATATGCCTCTTTCCTAACATACAAAAAGGGACGTCCTGTCCTCTATGTTGTCGTGGAGAGAGCCATTTATGGCATGGTTTTGGCAGCACTTCTTTGGTACAAGCTATTCAGAAGTGACCTCGAACAAATTGGATTTGTGTTCAACCCATACGATCCTTGTGTGGCCAACCGGATGACCGAAGGCTACCAACAAACAATTCGATTCCATGTTGATGATTTGATGTCAAGCCACAGAATGAAGTTGGTGAATGACCGGACTTTGGAATGGTTCAATGGAAGGTATGGAACCTATGGAGCAGTCAAGGCAACCCGTGGTCCCAAGCATGACTACTTGGGGATGACGGTGGACTTTTCCGATCCAGGCAAGGTAGTCATTGACATGATTGACTATCTTAAGAAGATGATCTTGGAGTTCCCGGTGGACTTCGAGCAAATGAAGAAGGTGTCCAGCGCGGCACCTGCCGATTTATTCAGTTCTGGTGATGGAGCTGCTTTGGACGACAAGACCAGAGAAATCTATCACACCAACGCAGCCAAGCTGTTGTTCGCGTGCAAGAGAGCAAGACCAGATGTCCAAACACTGACAATTGTTCTCTGTACACGTGTGAGGAATCCCACAGTTGATGACTGGGGCAAGTTGATTCAAGGATTGAAGTTCCTCGACCAAACAGTGGAGGACAAGTTGATACTCCACGTTGATGATATCCGTGTCATCACTTGGTGGGTGGATGCATCATTTGCAGTCCATCCTGATTACCGTTCCCATACAGGAGGAGTCATGTCCTTTGGAAGTGGCGCGGTGCTGTCTGTGTCTGCGAAACAGAAATTGAATTCGAGGAGCAGCACGGAAGCGGAATTGATTGGAGCTGACGATGTCATGTCGCCCATGTTGTGGGCAAAGTTGTTCCTTGAAGAACAGGGGATCGTTGTGAAGGACAACATCCTCATGCAGGACAACAAAAGCACGATCATTCTTGCAGAGAATGGCAAAGGCAGTTCGGGCAAAAGAACTCGGGCCATCAACATTCGTTTCTTTTTTATTCACGACCAGATTGGAAAAGGCAACCTTAGAGTTGTATATTGCCCAACTTTGGAGATGCGTGGAGATTTTTTCATGAAGCCCCTTCAGGGCAGACTCTTTCATGAGCACAGGGCTTTCATCATGGTGCAATACACGGCTCTTAGCCTTATTCGCGACTCGATCCTAGATAGGGTTTGAGTTCGACTCATGACTGAGTCTCTCGTGAATAGTCATTGAGACAGGGTTCTCAATGACCGCTCTAGTCATACTAGGTTGATGATGAAACATCGCTCTAGATATTTAGCCAGCGTGGAGTACTTCCACGCTACTAGATAAATGCTAGACGAATCTTCCACGCGTTCCGTTTTTGGATCGTGGAGTGAGTAGGATTGCTACCGCAACCTACTCTATCACACTCTACAGTCTCCCGCGGGAGTTCAGATCTACGATCCCTTGATTGTGGATCTCTCTCGTTGATTAGTTTTCATAGCTTTCTAATCCTCTCATAACTTTCATTCTCTCAAACTCAAAACACTCGAAAGATCTTTACACTAGCTTTTAGCGTAGTGCAATGGGGCATCCACCCCTTGTTTGATTTCCTAAATTATTTATTCGTTCCACGGTAGCCACTTAGGGCACCGTGCAGGAGTGTGTTCGAAGAAATATACCTGACACCTCTTTACTATTGACTCGTGTATTAATCATCTAGTCCGGTTCGCATGGAAATTCATCATGCAAGGAACCAAGGGAGTTTTAGGTCTAAAGTGTTGCGGGGGTCCTTATATCCAATTCAATCACAAGAATTGCTATGCACCACCAGAAAAACCTCACTTTTGCTTTTCAGCTTAATCTAAAACCAAATTACTCCCCAATAAGCTGCAGTACAACAGCTGCTGTTGCAGTTCTTCATCCCAGATGCCTCGATGATTTTGTCAATCAATCCAGGCTGAGTCATATTGAAAGCCCCATCTGGTAGCTTCTCAAAGTGGATCCCCAGGAATGACTCGAGTGTATCGTCCATGCTGAGTTTGAACCCGAAATCCTCCATGGTCTTGAAGAATTTGTCTTTCTCTGTGGGATCCTGGAATGCACAGACAAGATCATCCACGTAGGTTACCACCATCATTCCAGGTTTGACAAACAAGCATTTGTCTTGTTGTGACTGGCTTAAGCCATACTTCTCCAAGGCAGAGCACAGACAGTCGCTCCATAGTTTGGGAGCAAAAGATGTGCCGTAAAGGGACCGCTTCAACTTCAAACAGGATTTGCCCTCCAAACTAGATTGGTAGCCTCTTGGAAGCCGGATCCACACAGGCTTGTCCAAGGTGGCATGTATGAATGCATTTGAGTAATCACATGTGCAGGTAGCCCATCCCCAGGTGAGTGCCAAGATGAGTACCATGCGAATTGTGCTCCAAGCACAGGTTGGTGCATGGGTTTCAAAATCATATGACTTCATTAGGTCTCCTCTCACCACAACTCTTGCCTTGAACTTGTCACAGTGTGTGTGTCCCAGATAGGATGCTTAGGTGGAAAATCTTGATGCCTGAGAGTCCAGGGTTTCCAGAGACTCGGTGATTCCTGCTTGCGAGACTTTGATTCTTGCCTGGGCTTCTGTCTTTGAGGAGGGCTGCATGGTTGGCAGTGGGCTCCCTCGGTTGAACCTGTTGGAGGAGGCATCCACGTCCTTGGGGGTGATGTCTTGCAGGAGCAGCTTCTTGGTTTGACATTTGACATGTTTGAGTGGTCTTCCGCTGTTGAACCTGTTGGAGGAGGCATCCATGTCCTTGCAGGTGATGTATTATTGTTTCTGGGTTTGACATTTGACATCCTTGGCATCTTCACATAGCATGCGTTCCCACAGTACTGCACATGGGGGGGCATTGGAATGGCCCGCTTTTGGGCTGTGCGTCTGTCAAAAGGCCGATGACTCCCAATTTTACCTTTGGACCGTTCTCCCTTTCGGCTGTTGGCAGGAGCGGAAAAATACTCGGAGCCACGCTTGTGGCCGGAGGGTCGGGCACGGGATTGGTAGAACCAAGTGCGGAGACGATCAAGGAGAGATTGCTGGTGGATGGTGGGGGCCTTGCTGGGGAAGGTGGAGGTAGCACGAAGGCGGGTGGGATAGCTTTTGTGAAACCCACAGTCCCTGATGCTTGCTCCCTTGAAACGGCGGCGACGCCGCCAGCGTCGGAGCTCCTGTTCATATCGACGTCGCTGCCAGCGTCCATGAGGGATGGGGTCATCACGGGGGGAAGGAGGAAGCAAGGGGGGAACCAAAATCCAAATTAGGAGTACCACAATCCATGACAGTGGGGCCAGTCCCACAGAGACATAGACTTCACCAAGGAAGGGCCAAGCTATACCGACCATCCATGGCCACACGGTGTGAATTAGCCAGGGGCCCATGGTCTGGGCCATACCAACAAGGGTTTCAAAGTGTTGCACACAGAGACACAGAAGAAATCCAAGAAGCATAGGTAGAGCATGTTCATTGAGAAAATCATTGAGATCCTGGTATGCTGCAAACAGCAGTCCCAGAAGCAGACGAGGATGAAGGAGAGATGAGAAGGGGTTGTTGACTGGAGTGTACCATGCACAGGGATGAATGGAAGCAAGGTTGGCAGCAGCAGTGTGATCACCATCTCCCGGATTGCCATGAGCTTCGGTCAGGTGGGAGGCTGTCCAGCGACCATCTCCATTGTTGCACTTCTGACACCAGTGCCAGGTAGCCCCACCGGCATCCTGCTTGGAGTTAGGCTCACCATCCTTAGGGGGAATGCGTTTCCAGGTCATCTTGGGTTGTCCTTTCTTGAAGCCTCTGTTGGAGGTCTGGGGAGTTGGAGCGCGGTGAGCCTGGTTCTTGGGGCAGTCAGGGGAGTTGGACAAGTGGCCAGAGGAACCACAATTCCAGCAGACCTTGCCACCCTGGTTGTCACCAAAGCCACCCATGGGTTTGCGCTGTCCAATGTTGTCCAAACGTTGGATCAAGGCATGGACGTCTGCCTTATTGGTTGCAAGAGTGGTCTCAACAGTGGTATGATGGACAGAGGAGGAACCAAAGGACATGGGAGCACTGCCTGAGTCCTGGGGTCCTGATGTGGCTGGCCATTTCTCCTCATTCACTGCAATCATGTAATACTCCAACAGAGTGTCCAAAATGCTCTTATGATCCAAACCTTTGCACGGCCCATCTTCGCGTGTCTCTCTCAAGAGGAAGAGCTCAATGTCGAAACCATTCAAGAACTTCTCTTCCTTGCACTGCTTGTAAGCCTTCTTCAATGGAGTGAGGATCCGATCCAAAATCATGGTCCACCATTCAAGATGATGTTTGTTGTCAACTGGATAGGCACCATGCAAACTCTCAAGAAAGGTGTAGAGAAGCTTTGGGTCATAGTCCCGTGTATCACAAAGGGCTTGGATTCTTGGGCGAAGCTGTTGAATTCCCAATGACATGTCCAATGCTGGACACTGCTGCAGAGTGAATGCATTGACTTCACTGATGATTTTGTGGGATTTTTCAGCAGTCAGAATGGACCATTGTTGAACGAGTTTGATCCAGGTAACAAGACTGTGATCACCGATGTCCTGGATTCCAGACACTGCTTCATGTAGCTCTGGGTCAATGCAGTTCAATAGGTGAGTGCGAAAGCTGTAGTCATTCTCATTGTCCCAGCTGTCATACTTGGCTGCCAGCTTGACTGTTGCTGCCTTCACATAGGTTAGGTTTCTGGAGAACATGTGAGGATGTTCCACAATATCCACCATCTTGCTGGGATCAGTGGGGTGTGGAATGAATTTGCATTGTTGCATTCCAAAGTTCATCAGAAACTCCAAAAGGTGCGCCTGCAAGCAAGGGCTGGAGGCTAGACCCCTTTGTCCATTTGGGTTCAAACTTTGGAAACTCACTTGCTCTTTTCAAACCTTTGGTTCTATCCAGACTCCTATACTGCCCAGAGTGGACTCTGAGGGTTGGAGATTCCAAGCCGGACCAATCTGCCTTAGGAATACCACCCATGCGAATTGTTTTGGAGCTGCCAACTTCTACTATCTCACCCATGATAGGAGCAGTGATCGGGGTAGATGAGTGTTGATTCACATCTCCCTTCAGCACCTTAGTCACTGATGCGGCAACCAACTCAGCAAGTTTGTAAGCCATTTCACCATCTGGATCATCGCTTGGTGGGCCATCATTGTCAGTTGCTTCTTGAGCTGCTTCATCATCAGTTGATGTGATTCTTGCGAGCTCTTCTTGAGTCCTAGTTAAGTCCTCCTCAAGCTCTCTGATTCTGTCCATGAGATCCGCGTCTCCGGTACCAGTCCGCCCTCCTGCAGGGTCTTCCATGATCAACTCTGATCAGCTCCTGTGGGAGACTTCAACTCCTGTGGGAGTTCCAAAACACAAGTCCAAGGGGACTTCTAAATGGGAGACCTTCGAACACAAGTCCAATGGGACAGTCAAATCAATGCTCCAATGGGAGTCTTCCACAAACTAGCTTCAATTGAACACAGATTTACCTGATGTCTCCTGAAGCTCCTTCCAAACAACACTTGGCAGACACCTCGGGCTCTTGAAGTACCTGACTGGTTGGATGGAGGGATTGTTGTGGCTTGGTAGGTTTATCAGAGGTAAGCGCAATGGTGGTTAGCCTGGTAGGTTGGGCTCAATAACCACTAAAAGGAAATCTGAAATCTGATGAAAAGGTAATTTGTCTTTTGTTGTTGTTTATTATTTATTGTTGTGCCAATTTCCTGAAATTGTGAGCTTGGAAATGAAGGACGTGTTGTGTGATTTCTGAAAGCAACTTGGACCTTGCAAGTCTTTGGGGTGAAACCTGGCATTGCTCCTTCTATTTGGGGAAGACGGTAGTGTTGTCACAGGATCCTCAGTCATTTGGGGATTCCATCAGTAGATATGACAGTCACTTTGGGGTGGCAGTCGCAAAGAACAATGGTGTCAAAGAACATTGGTGTCAAGGAACAAAGGTGTCAGAGAACATGTTCCATATGTTCCATGTGGAATCATGATCACTGTCACGCCGTTCTGTGTGGAACAATGATCACTGTCACGCTCAGACATTCTTCATGTCCCTTTGCCCAAAGTCTGTGTCCACTGAGACAGCCTCTGATGTACCATGAGACAACCTCAGATGTACCATGAGACACTCCAGTTTCCCACTCGACCCAGTAAGCACTTGCTGCACGTTCCTGCTTCCTCAATTCTTGGTGGGATTGTTGATTGTATTATCTTGACTCCTGCATGTAAATTGGAACCATAGCCAATGCTGCTGTTGATAATATCAATTTTGGAGTTTCCTTGTTTGCTGAAGTCAAGTGACATGGTGGCAACAAACGATCCCCTGATCTTTACAAAATCAACCTTTGAGGGTAGGAAGACAAAATATGGACCACTGAGAGTGGACGCCATGTCAACATCAAGGCCATGTAGGAAAAGAATCATGTTCCATATTCTTGACTGCCCAAAAAAGGGAATAAATGACCAACATGCTGTGCGGAAGTGGAAGTCACATGCCCAATTGGTTGCTCCTCGCCACAGAGACCCCTCGTATTCATCTGATGGATCCCTTTTGCCAATCAAGAGCCATTTGAGGCCGATACTTGTCATGAGGGCAAGAAAGGATGTCAGTGGAAACAACAAGATCCAATGAAGAATGCCAACATCGCCAGGATGGTAAGATTACGTTGAGTGCAGTATGGACCAAGAAAGAGAGTGTGAAGAAGTGGTATGCTTCGAAGATTGTCCAAAGAATCTTGAACACATCCAACATGGGTTCTTCCAAACTCTTTGAGTTGGTGGGCTGAAATGAGCCCGCGTGGCATGCTGGGTTTCCTTTGGCAAGAACACCGTGTGGGACCATAGCACCCTCTTCCACCACAGAAAGTTTCTCCACCTTATTGCTGCCCTCTCCAATCTCGCCCCCAGGGCTGACCATGCCTGACACTTGACAGTTATTTCCAATCAAAATGGGGCGGAAGGTCAACTTTGGACCTGCATCTGAAGACTGAGAAAATTTCCTGCACCTGATTGGGTGTCCAATCGTAGCATTACTGCCTACTTTGACAAGATCAAATTCTCGTATGTATGACTGAATCTTGGCTGACCCTGCCAGATCTGCCCCAAGCAGCCAGTAGAAAATCCAAATGAACCTTGTTTCGACAAGAAACTGCCCAGCAATTGACTCCCAGATATGCAAGAGCCTGTCCACAAACCACCAGCAAACATAGTCCCATGATAAGAGATCAAACTGTTGATGCCTGTATTTCCCTACAACAGTAACCTTGCAGATTACTACCACTACTGACAGCGACAGTAGGAATAGGGGGAAAGTTATGGGCAAGAAAACCCATGAGATTGAACAGTGATTTTCCACACCATTGGTTGAGGAGCACTGTTCCATAACCCACAAGACAAGAAAATAGGATGGAACAAGTGACACCAGAACCAGGAGAAGAATCACACTTGAACCAAGAGTTTGGATCACCCCCATTTGGAGCTTGCTTAGTCCGGATCTTGATGAGCCCCAAAGGAAATTAGGGTGGTTGTCCGTATTTTGCTTGGGAAAGCTCTTGCCCTCTGATGCTCTTAAGAAAACTGAAAGTTCACTTAGTGTTGGGTAGAGATGTTCGAAGTTGGTGGGGAGCACCACATGCAACTGTTCCTCGACCATATTCCTCAGCTCAGCACTCTTGAGAGATGTGAGTCCATTCTCAGCCCATGTTTTTGATGTGTCCACTTCAGAACCCAAGACAGTTTTGATTACACTGGCATATCGGATGGAGAAGTCATCTGGGTCTGTAGCTGCAGCACCGGTTATAGAAGCCTTGATATCAGGGTTTGGGTTGATTGCCTGGGTTTTCAGGTAATCTCTTCCACATTGGTCAAAGCGGGGGAGCCAATCTTCTTCATTGAGTGCCATTCCTTTGTTGCTCCTCAGTGGTGGGTGGGTGTATCCAAGTTTTTGAGCCCACGATAGGTTCATCATTCCAAAATCCTCAAGTGCATTTCTTGACAAAATGATTCGGTGTAATACTTTGGAGACTCTGTTTTCCTTCCTATGGTTTGTACAACCAGGTACAAGCTTGTTGCCCTGGCATGCAAGAAACCAGCATTGTCATCTCCAATGATGCAGGGTAGCAGCAATTTGGATGCCTTCCAGATGGAAGAGTGCTTATCTCCGCTCCCTGTAAATAAAATAAAAAAATGATGCTTTAGGTTGAATTCACACATGATCCTTTCATAACATTCATGAACAAAACAACTTACAGGAAACAAAATGCATGTTCCAAGCAATGTAAAGATCATTCCAGGTACTGCTTGGGGGGGTCCTTGCTGTCAGCCAGGGATAGGAAGCTAACAGCCTCCCAACTTCAGAATTGGCCTTGAGTCCATTGCTCTGTTCAAGCCAAACAGCCTCTAACAAATTCAAACACAGGAGTTTGTTCATCCTTTCATGTTGTGAATCAACAGTTGGACCTTCAGGAGATTCCGAACTCTTCTGAAACAGCCTCAAAGTGCGCCTACCGATCTGTTCTTTATCCAACCGAAGAAAGGCAAGTTCCCATACAGTGGGTCTTGTTCCGGAAGGTTAAGCATCTCTTGTAGCTCCAAAGACAATTCCAGCTCCAAGCGATCTGGAACCGCCCTTCGTGGAAGGACACTGACAAGTAAATTTGTACTCTTTATTCTATAGTAAACTGGCCGTTTTTCAACCACTCAAAAACAAAAAAGGACCACAATGGCGTCTCGTGGTCCCTTTCTACGCCGCAAGACACAATCTTCAGTCAAATTGACCATGGCAACCAAGTCCCAACTATCAGATGGAAGTGGACCATCATTGACGGCATCGAAAACGGCCTCGAAACCACCGAGCAACGTCCATTTTGATACCGCGATACCAAGAGTTTTCGTCCACCACGATTGCAATCAACAATCAAATCATGGGCTCTTGCAGCAGCGCTCACACAAGGACGATCGCTTCCATGAGTTCTACCAAGCAAGAAGACGACACCGATGAAACAGGCAATGTACTCAGCACAAGAAAAACCAGTCACCGCGCACTGTACGACAACAAATTTTGCGCCTTAACCGACTATACAGATGAGTGGCTCCTCATGAATATGAACGATGATGCATCTCTGCATGATGAGGACTCTTCCATCACAACGACTGAGACAACTGGCACTGAATCCACTGTAGCGGAATCTATGGCTGCAACACCACCACGAATTAACGTTGTCAATCGGACTAAAGAGACGACTCGCAGCAAACGCCGCAAGTCACAGGCGTCCCCTTACACAGACGGGATGACGCCACTACCTCTCCCATTACCACCAGTGCTGGTCAACAGCGTCAATACCATCGTTACCTGGGACAAGCTGCATACAGGAAAAAAGACACGCAACCAAACAAGGAAAACCAAATCAACAAAACACAGTCAAGGACACCAAGGGCAACCCGAGGACACCAACGCATCATCCACTGTCTCCAAAACAGTTCCCGATTACAATGACAAATCGGAATGGCCAAAGCTGACACAAAATCTACACTCAACGTCCATGACGACCGCGGTTGCTGTCACTAATGTTAGAACAACGCAAACGATTACCAATACGCATGATTGGCCAAGTCTCCCTTCATCGAGCTCAACCGTGAATGATAGCAAAAAGAATTCGACTATTGCCAGTAGTGTTCCAACAAACACCTGCGATATTGTCAAGCTAGCCGATGCCAGCACTTGGCCAAACCAACCATCATTACCAAATTCGGCAACCAACAACATGTTGAGGTCCACTAAATCAACAACACGTCCCTCGGCGGGGGAATGTTCCACTACGCACGAGAGCAACAGCCTCTGTCGAGAGCAACGAACTGACGACAAGAGCAACAAAGCTAGTCATGGCCCGTCCACAATACGAAGAAATCCAGGTTTCGTCTGAAAGAATCGATCCAGCAATTTCTAACCAATCGGCAAAATGATACTAGTGATGCTGGCTCTGCAAATGGTCCCAGCGGCAGCCTTCCAGGTAACAACAGTCCAATAAAACTGGCCATTACAGCAGAAATCACGAAAGCGAAATTCGAGAGTACAGCTATTAGCATGGAAAAGACACCCAACTCACCGGATACCACCACACCTGTTACCATTGACGTTGCTGGTACAGCTCAAGCGCCATCGACCTAATTTCCCAACAAAGCACCAATGAATAATTCATCATCGACAGCAACCTCGACGACAAAAGCCAAAACCGGAACAGCTGCTAAACGTTCCTCCCATCCCGTGTCCTGACTGCTGCTCCATTGTACCTCTCCAAGCGATGCCTCGAGCGATTCATCTTGTATTCTAACAACAAACACCAACACTGACGCCCCACTCACTACTGCTCTAATGCAACCAGTTCATTCCACTGCAGTCCCTCGGCAATGGATACCGCTCTACTTCACCATTGACACTCCTGCTATCTTCAAATGGACCCACATTGAAGGCACTGGCACCACCACTGACCCTACTGACGACGAGATCACGGCAGGCATCCAGCATCTTCAAGACATGGCAAGGAAGCAGGACCTATTCGATGTGACAGCCGCTCAATCCCCAGATGAGACCACTGTTGTGGAGATCCAACACCTACTCCTTTCTACTGTCCACAATGCCATGGTCCCATGGAAGCCACTGAACTGCATTGCATTGATGCCACCACAACTCAGCTGGGCACTCATGAGATTCCCTACCTGGTCATTACTGCTACTCCTGCAACAGGTCCTATGATAACCAGGATATCTCCCTTCCGGTCAAGCACCTAGCCCCTCTATTCAACACTGTTGACAGCAGTGACAACCAGGATCAACAGAAGTCATTGGAGGCACCAGCTATCAACTCACACCGATGCACCACCAAGAGCCAATCACAACCAAGCCGCTAGATGCCACTCAGCCATGCAGATCAACCGGATCCGAAATCAAATTCAGTCACAGCTCTCAGCGCTGCTTCTGTCACAGCTATATCTCTAGACCTCAAGACCACATTGTGTTTTCCTCTGCAAGTGAAGGCAGATACAGCAAAGATACTCACTTATCTTGAAACAGAACTAGCAGTCCTTGTTCCCACCGACCCAGCCAATGCCACTCCTTCTGTCTGTGTTAGGAACTCCCTTCTCGAGCACAGAGAACCCACTGTCCATTGCCTAGAGAGATTCATCAGAGAGCAAAGCTTGGTGTCTACTGGAACCAGCTCCTGATACTGATGTTCCTCGTATCCCAGGCATTATCACCATGACCAGTTCAAGAGTCCAAAGCAAGATATGCGCGCCACTGCTTCAACTTGGCTGCTGCCAATCCATGGCTCTTGATGCGGGATGAGAGCGCAAATGAATCCAACATCCATGG